AAAACTGCGGAATTTCACAAGCATCCCTTGTCATTTGGAGGGGGACGGGGCTGCGGCTCGCCTTTTGCTGGGTTAGAAGGGAAAGTAGGCTGCGATGTGGGGGTGAGCAGAGGGAAGGGCAGAGAGCTCAGCGCTGGAGTGAAGCCTGAGGCAGAGCGCCCTCAGGGTTAGGGCAGCTGTCAAGTGCTGTCTCCTACAGAGCAGTGGGGCAGCGCTGGTGGTGAGAAGGAACTGCTTCAACCTTGATTAAGGTGTGCTCCATGGAAGCAGAGTGAAATTTACGTAGTGCTGGTGTGCGCATCAGATGGTTTGAGGACCTTCGATGTGAAAAGAGCCGGTGGAAAAATGTTTTGTTTAAATTTTAATCTGTTGGGGTTTTCTCCTGCATTTCTGTTTTTATTAAAAATAAATGAAAGTGCCAAGAAGTAGACTTTGCTCCATTAAGAGGCAGAATTGTTTCTGTGAAAGGAAAGATGATGATTGTGCTTCTGGAAGAGATATTGTCGAGCTTATTTACCCAGTGGAAAGAGGATATGTTCTAGACGTGTTCTGGCAAATAATAGCAGTAATCCAGCAGAAAAGAGTAGACTATTGCAAACTAAACAACTAAACACAACAAGTGTGCCTGTTTAACTCATCTGCTGAACAGTCATTTGGTAGAATGGCCCAGGAGTTCTTCTACCTGCCTTCCACAGCTGAAATAGGACTTTTTTTAAACAAATGGTAATTAAATGAAACTTTTGGGTTTGAGGCTGTAGGTCTTGAGCTGCCATTTAATGGGATGTAGTCTGCATGGTAGGAATGATGGCCTGGTGGGCAAAGCTGGGGTAGCAGTCATGAGACTGACTGTCATCTTGTCCCTGTCATTTGTCTTCTGTGAGTCCTCAGGCAGCTTAACTCACACCTCGATTTCCTCTCTGTAAGTAAAGTATATTATATTTCCCTGCTTTTCTCAGCATAGTGAGCTTAAAGTGCAGTGAGAGATTGAGAGGCACTAGGAAGTGTTATGTGCTTTAAAGACTTAAGTGTGTCTTGGTTGAGTCATCTTTGTGGTTCAGATTTTGACTTCAGGAGGATGCTTTGTGGATGAGAGCGGATAGGAAGAATGGCTGTCTAGTCTGGTGGAATGAATGTGGAAGCCTTTATGATAATGCTTTTATCCCAGCCAAATTCAACAATAGGCCTCCCTCCTTTGTTTAACCAGTCCTGTTTTTTATTTTATATTGCAACTTTTTGCCGTGATCTTCTTTGTGAACAACTCCTTTATTATCAGAGCTCCTCATCCTCTTGCTGGTGGAGTGCTTGCAGTAACAGACCTTCTGTCCCCCAGATGGGAGATCCACTTCTCCTGGAGTGTGTCACTGGTTTCCCACTGGTTTCCCAGTTCCTTGCTGGGTGGGATGCCTGGAGTTACACCTGGCTGGAGGCTCTCTCTGCCTTGGTTCAGAGGGTGGCAATGTGACTGCAGCTGTGCACAGATCAACCCTTTCATGTCCCAGTCTTTGTGTGTGTGAAGAGGGACATAGTCAAGCATTTGGAGCAGGGACATCAGTGACTGTTTCAGCTGTAGGCCAGTGTATGGTTCTAACAATACCTGTACTGATGCCTGGGTTTTCCCATGTAATTTATCCCATGCTTTTTGTGCTGTTTCCTTTTCTAAAATAGAAATCACACAGTGCTGTGGGCAAGTGTTGCATGCTGTTGTCTCTCATGCATCAAGCAAGATGATGATCCTGAGTCATTGCTGTGGAACAAAACTGTTCCTTACATGCACTGAGCTTTCCAACTGTCCTGTAGAATCCCACTGGTGCAGTCAATTTAAGCACTGATGGAGCAGGGTTGGTTATTACAGCTGTTGTATGAAAATAAAAAAGTCTCAGTGTGCATTTTATATTTCTGCTCTGTTGCTTGCTTCTGCTGCATCCTCTTTGGTGCTGCAAGTATTTTCTCCTAGTAGCTGTGAGGTGCCTCTGGAGGGTGAATCTCTTGCTCAGAGCTTGTTTCTTTCAAATTTTGAAAGTGGGGATGGTGGGATACCAGGGGAAAGAGGAAGTTTTTCCAGAAGCTTTCTTTTATTTTGAAAGGCAGACTCTTTCTGACTCCCACTTCACAGAACATCCAGGCTATTTAATTGAGTTTAGAGACATCAGATGCTCTCTAACAGATTTCTGTAAAACTGAAGTCTTAACAGCAGCTTCCTGCATGACAGTTTTCATGGTGGATGTAGAAATTACATTCTTCAGAGGGAAATCTGAGTGTGAAATAAGCGAAGATAATGAATGGTGAGACTTGCTTCTCTTATGGTAATTTTTTCATTATAACTTTGGCTGCACTGCATGTGTCTGTGATGTAATATAAATATTTTGGTAATATAATAAAAAATTAATGTAATATGGTGTCTAATAAACTAATATTTTAAATACTATAACTGCTCTTTACTGTCTTTATTAAAAACCCCTGAAATTTTATGCATAAATCATGACTCTTGCATGGAATGAAAATATGGGAGTAGAATATTATATTGATTTCTCTCTAGTCCTTTTCCTGCTTCTTAATGCTTTTGGATGGCTCAGAGCAAAAGCTTTTAAGTTCTGAGCAGTTGGGGTAGATCATAGTTCAGGAGTATGTTATGTTGAGGAAGACTTATTGCTTTGTAGTGAGGAAACATCTCATTTGACATAATCTTTTTGTAAAACATTTCTGTAATACTGTTCTGAAGGTCTTTTTCACTGCTCTCTCAGAAGCAATGCTAGGAAAGAGAACTAAATATCTTTTTCTCTCTCATCTGTATCATTATGGCAAAAGGGAGCAGTTTCAGATTTTTGAGAATTTAGTAGGAATGCAGATTAATAAATGGTAGCTGTGTTGAAAGCATCCCATTTTGTGGGAGATGGGAAGTGAGTCACTGAGTCAAGGTCTCCTACCATTATAGGGATGACATCATATAATTCCTCATAAGAATTCTTTCATTCTTAATTTTTTTCTCAATCAAGAGAACTCCTGGTGACATTTCCCACTCAGCCATGTCATAAAATGCTTGTTCATTCCCTTTTCCATATTTTTTTCTTTTTTGTAAGGAACCAACTGAAAATGTCTCAGAATCCTGACAAGCTGCACTCAAGTGAAGAAAGGCTGAGTGGTTTGGAGGATGGTCAAGAGGAGAACTCAGACAACCCGGATCAGTCTGTCCGGAAAAGGATACGGCAGAGCGCTCACAGAGATGACACACCCAAGTGTAAGCAAAACTGCTTTATATGAAATATAAATTAAAAAAAAATCTACAGTTTTTGGTGGAGGCAATCCTAATGTTTCATACCATTCTGTGCAAGTTTGACTATCTTGCAGTTAAATATAGTGTGACTCCTGATGGTTTGCTCTGGAACTGTTTGTAACACCCTTTTCCCCATTTTTTTCAGTACTTAATTATACACAGTGACCATGTTGCTCTGATCTCCATATATCTTAAATACCCTGGTGTGTCTGTGCTCATGGAAGGGGTAAAGCACCATCCTGGGGTGTTCCAGCTACTGCTGCTGCTGTTTGCCTTATCAGCTGAACCTTCTGGATTGTTGCAGCCTCTGTTTCCACTACAGGGCAAGGAAGGCTGTTATCAACAAAGGAATGTCCTGTCATCCCCCTCACAGTATAGGTGGAAAGTTGTATATTTTATCCTAATACTACTTGCAGTGTCAAGCAGGACTCCATATTTTAAGCTTATTCCTAAGGCGTATTTTTCCTTGTCATTCTGCTTTTACCATGAGGAGCTGGATGCAATATGGCTACCAAATATTCCTGGCAAATCTATAGATGAAACCAAGGGGAGGTTTTCTGGCTCCAGGGATTCAATTCAAAGAGGCAGAAGTGCTTAGATAACTAGTTCTGAATTTCTGGAGAGAGTGTCTCAGCCTGTAACATTTTGTTTGTTGTATTTTTTTATTTTTTAATGGAGTTCATTATTACTCGAGGTTTAGCGTTGTGTTTAGTGTCACGTTACACAGAAGAGATGTTCTGAGGGAGTTTATGTTCCTATGCCCTGCTGGTTGCCTGATAGAAAACGGGATGTATGTGTGGAGAGAGGCTCTGAACACGTGAAAGTAAAAAGCATAGCACAGTCTTGCACTGCTTTTTACCACAAAGAAGTGGTTGGTTTCAAGCCCTTCCCTTGTTTAAGGGAGCAGATGATGTGATTTAAGAGTGTTCTGTGGCAAATGAGAGTCTTGGCTTTTAGTGCACCCACTGCTGGAGTGAAGTCATTTGGCAGTGAGACAAGAGCTCTCTCATTCAGCTGTGAACTTTGCTGTCTGCTGGTGCTTCTCAGAATATCAATCCTTGCTGTGTTCCTGGAGCCACCCTGCAACATTAAGCTCCAAGCAGAAGGAAACAAGGGTTTAGGAGGGCTGCAGGAGAAGAGCAAGATATTAATGAAAAATTAGCACATTGGAACCACACTGCATATACGCAGAAGAGCTCTGAGTGGCAGACAAGTGAAGGACAGATACTTTTAAAAGACCTTTTCTATGTAATTTCCTAAGTCAAATCGGCATGGGTTATCAAATGAGACTGTCATAATAGTTTGCCTAAAACATATCTCAGTGAACCCAGCCTATGAAGATCCCTGGCTCATTTCTTTCATTTTGGGATTAGTGTTGCTCCTGTGCCTGGACTGTAATTGAAGTGAGTGATGTGCAGAGGATCCATTGGGGCAGTTCTGCTGTGGCTCTTTCCCCCATTCCACTCCACGAGGTGTCTTTTGGAGGAGCCAGGGTGAACCTTGCCATTACTCCCCTAAACCAGCATGACCTACACCCTTGGCACCTTCTCAGCCTTTCTGTTGCCTTATTTTTAGGGCTGTGACACTTCCTGCACTACAACAATGCCACTGGTGGCCCAGGAGGATGTTGTGTAGCCCAGAACAATTAGGAGCCATAACTCCCAGTGCATCCAGAAAGCAAATTAAGTTTTTTGAATTGTCTACCTTCTACCTGCTAGATTTCCACCGTCAGTCACTACCTTTATCTCCTTCCTAATGAAAACCATCCTGGTTTTTCATGTTTGGTGCTTCCTGCTACTCACTTATGTGCCCCAGGGCCCAGTTTGAAGCTGCTGGTCCATCCTGGTCAGTCCCAAATACCTGCCAGGGAAAGAGGTCTTAGGCATTGGAGCTGGGAGTAGGTCTTGACATCCTTTGTTGCTTGGATGGTGGCCTCTGGGTGAAGAGTTTGGAGGAGTGCCAGTTGCACTGGAAGCAATGAGGGTAATTAGCTACTGGTGTGTTACTGCTTAACACTTTTGTGACTTGTTTACTGGCTGCTTTAAAGATTAATTAATTTCCTTGAAAAATGTAAAATTGAAATGGCAATGTCTACACAATACTTGTGGAAATAGTGTGGTGAAAATGCTGGTAATTTTAATTATTTCTTCCCACAGTATGGAGTAGGATGATAAGATGCTATTAATCCATCATAAAGAAGTACTGGTTTGGGTGTGGGGTTTTGCTTGGGTTTGGTTCTTAAAAGAGCTTGATGGAACTTGGAAGCAAGTTCTGAGCCCTGAATATCAACTGAGACTCACTCCTTTGCTTTCTGTAATACTCCAAACCTGTGTCGTCCACCAGATGGGAAAGGAAGGGAAGGCAAAGAATCTTCAGGTGACACTGCCATGTGACCCTCTGTGCTGTCAGTAAGGTGGAAAGGGCCCAAAAGTCTTAGCAGACTTTATTTTCTGCAGGCTTTTGTAGAGAACTGTCTGACAGTGTAATTCACGTTGCAGCCAGTCCTCCTCGGCCTGTGTCCATAGAGGAGCTCATGGAAACAGCCAAGGGAGTCACCAACATGGCATTAGCACACGAGATTGTTGTCAATGGAGACTTCCAGATTAAACCAGCTGAGTTACCAGAACACAGGTAAGATTGTTACCTAATATATCCATTAAAATATATCTCTATATATCTAGAGATAAAGTTTGCATTTGTAGAACTGCAGAGCAGCTCTGGGGGATCAGGTGGAGGCTCTGGCTGGTATCTTGTCTGGCAGTGCCTGGTAGGGAGTAGGAAGCAATGTCAGAAGAAGGTGGTAAAAGTGCAGTTCTGCTGCCCAGATATATGTGTGAGCATGAAAGGTGGACCTCTTGGAATAACTGTGGGACAAATCCCAGTGTGCTGTGGTTTCTTGTCCCAGGAGTCAGGCTGCAGTCTCCCACATAGCCCAGTCTGACTGCAGCATTTTGAATTAGGAATTGGTACTGAAGCAGTGGAATTTGTCTATTTTTTTTACACAAACTGATCTGGGCCCTTATCTCAGAGTAGTTGCAATATTTATGCACTGAAACACAGAAGCTTTTGTGTCAGGGAAGTTACTTCATTTCTGTTAGGTTTACTAATGACTTTTACCTGGTAGAATCACCTTTATGTAGTGAGACCTTTAAAAGGAACATGAATACTGGTCTTTTGAAGACACACTGTAATTTTGGTGATTTATTTTTTAATTTATTTTAGTTGTCTAGTTTAGGTGTAGCATAGGATGAACTTTCAAGCACTTTAATTTGTAGCCAGCTTTGCTTGTGTGTAACCCTTTATTAGGACATAAGCCATTCCAAGTCCTGCATCCAGTTTTTCTTGCTTTTCCAAGTAACATCAAATGACAGGTCTCTTCTCTGTTAATCATCATATATTCATTATTACATTATATTCATATTATTACGTGCTCTTCCTCAGGAGCTGTAGGTTATCTTTGTAAGGTGGTGCAGAGACAAGTATTATTCTTTTTAACTGGTCATGTTTACCCACAGCTTGGAAAAGAAAGTAAGAGACATTGTGCATAAAGCTTTCTGGGATTGTCTGGAAGCTCAATTAAAGGAAGATCCACCAACATATGATCATGCAATTAAACTGTTGGGAGAAATTAAAGAGGTAAGATGATGTGATACCAAGGTAAATTATTGAATTTGAGTAGTGCATTGATATGAATGAGCAAAAGTGGTTGAAGCTTGGTTTTTCATAAAAGACTCTCTTGTTCTTTTTCATTACTGTGTCATTGTCTGTGAACGTATATAAGTTGTATAACCCCAGAGGAGAAATTTGAATTTAAAGCCAAATGCAAACCCATGTAAGATGATTAAAAGATAAGTAATACCAGTTTCATAATTCCAAGCTTCCTTCATGTTATGGCAGCGATATTAGTTATGGAATCAATGGGATGCCCCAACACTGGGCTGATAAAACTGAGCCCAATAGTCTGAAGTATGATCTGTGCCATAGAGTATTTACCACTTAGTAACTTCAGTACCACACAGAACAAGGTAAAACATCTGGAGTTGGTGAGTGGTTGGTTAAAAAGAAAAAAAAAGAGAGAAATTCTACTTTTAAAGGGCAATTAATTTAAATAAGAATATGCCCCATCCCTTGAAGCATCCAAGGCCAGGTTGGATGGGGCATTGAGCAACATGGTCTAGTGGGAGGTGTCCCTGCCAAGCTTGGAACCAAAGGATCTTTAGGGTCGCTTCAACCCAAACCATTCTGTGATTCTATGACTCTATAAGAAGTGGTTTTGATCCTTGTGCTCTTTGATATGTAGAACTAATGCACTGTTAAAAACCTTCCATTTCAGAATCTCCTGTCTTTCTTGTTGCCTGGTCATACTAGACTGAGAAACCAGATTACAGAAGTTCTTGATCTGGATTTGATAAAACAGGAGGCAGAAAACGGGGCCCTTGACATTTCTAAGTTGGTCAAATTTGTTATTGGGATGATGGGGACTCTCTGTGCTCCAGCTCGAGATGAAGAAATTAAGAAACTGAATGATATTCATGAAATAGTTCCTCTGTTCAGGTACTGAAATGGTGTTTATTAGTCATGTTCAGAGTCCCTTAAATAGTTTTAGATGTGTAGGGGGGTGTGTTCCAGCAGGGCAACCTGCAGCTCCTAGGAAAAAAAAGAGTGATAGGGAAAGGGAAGCAGCTGTGGGTGTGAAGGGGAGAGATGCTCCAGGAGTCATTAACAAGGACCATCTCTGTTCTGGTGAGTTGGGGTATTTGTCTGGCTCTTGCATGTCAGTGAAGGACATTTTCTTAAATGCCAAATGCATATAAGCCTTAAGACAGCAGGTGAAGAGTCAGTTTGTATCAAAAATTAACATCAACAGCAAAAGGAGAAAAAAAGCCCACAGGAGCATAGGAAAAAAGTACTACTGGTTTCCAACCAGTTTGTCCTTTCTTTCCAGTTTGAGCTCTCTTTACCCCACTCCCTGTATAAAGTCCTGTCAGTTCTAAAGGGAGTGTGTTGTACCCACATCTGGGAGCATCAGGGCTTCTGCTCTGTCACCATATTCTCAGCTCAAGGCCTCAATAGTTAGAAGTTTCACTAACCTTGCTGTTTTCTAATTTGCAAAGCTTCCAAGAGTTCAGGATTGACTTGGCAGAATTATGGCCAGCAGGAATTAGGTTGTTTTGAAATTAAGATGTTGTTATTTGGTGGGGGGTTTTTTGTGTTTGTTTTTTCTTTTTTTCTCTTGGGTCTGATTATTCACTTGCCACTGAGGTTGGCTTTCTAGGCTGCCAACAGAGAGAGCATGCAAGCTTGGAAACCCAGATGGCTTTTTATATACTCAAGATACAGCACTGCACATCCTGGGAGATGTAATCTATGGAGCTAGTGAAGTTAATTCCATGGAGGCTTTTTTACAGGAGAGCAAGATTTCTTTCCTACTTGGAAGAGGCACATGCATGCATGTACACGCTTGCTCAAGCTTTCTCTCTGTCTCATGCTTTTTAAATGGTTAAGCACCCTGTTACTGTTTCCCATGCATGTTTTTGCTCTTTCCTTAGACAGTCTGTAATAAATCTTGTAAACAGCACCTCTGAAACATCTGCAGCCTTGAATAACTTTTTCTGTTTGTTTGTTTAGAGCCATTTTCTCTGTATTAGACCTAATGAAAATGGATATGGCAAACTTCGCTGTCAGTAGTATTAGGCCAAAATTAATGCAGCAGTCTGCTGAATATGAAAGAAAGAAGTTTCAGGAGTTTCTTGAGAAACAGCCAAGTATGACTTTGTTCCTTTCTTTCTTCCCCTCTGACCTCCTAGTAAACTGCGTGTCTTTGCTTGTAGAACGTGAAAAAAACCCAGATATTTTTATAAGTTCATGTGGTAAATGACAGCCTGTGCCCCAAAACTGTGGTTAGAAAGAATCTGCCAGAACTATAGTTCTGCACTTAGTGCACTGGAGTCCAGTTTAATCTCAATACAGTGTAGGGCATGATTACCCAGCATCATCTCACCTCTGATTTCCTGTAGCTGTGTGGTTTTGTTTTAGATGTTCTGCTTGATGCAATAAATGAAATGCATGTCATCAGTTGATATTGTGGGTATTAGTCATAGTAACTAATGGGCTTGTTTGGAAATTATTGGTGGAAAAACCTAACTTTGAGAGGGAATTTTCCTAACAAGATTTTTTTCCCTTGCTTCTCCAGATTCTTTAGACCTTGTCACCAAGTGGTTGCAAGAAGCAGCAGATGATCTTGCAAAGCTGGGACATGAAATGTTGCCTCCCCACTCTAATGATGGTGCTACTGGTGGAGCCTCCACCTTGTGCTTCGCTGCTGTACAAAATCAGGCCTATCTGAAGCTCCTGAAGTGGGATCATGTGAACAGACCTTTTCCAGAAGTAGGTATTTAACAAAAAAAAAATGGGTGCTGTGCTTGTTCTGCTCTTCTGTTTCTGGGATATAACAGAAGCTGTTTGGATTTGTAGCCTTGCGACAAGTGCAATACTGAAACGTTTATCTCTTCATTGGGAGCTTCTTGTACTACTTCTCTTTCAGTTCTGAAACCTGCTTAGTTGGAAAAGAGGGGTTAATGCTTTTTGTTTCACTGCTGGTGCTGTCCTGCTGAGCACGTTGCTCTTCCCTGTGTCGTTGTGGTACCTTTTCTGTTGCATCCCAGTGTCCCTTCCCGGCCCAGCAAACTGACCCTGTGCTGTGCTGGCTTCCTCACTCCTTACAGACAGTGCTCATGGACCAGACCCGCTTCCTGGAAATAAAGCTGGAGCTGGAGCAGCTCCTCCTGGTTGGGACAGTGCTCCTGGTCACGTTCAGTGCAGCAGGCCCAGCACTCGTTGATGTGCCTGGATTTGCGGAGAAAATCAAAACCATTGTCAAGGTGCTGCTGACGGGAACGCATCTTCCGTGAGTATGGAATGGTCCTGGTCACACTGGGGCAGCTGTAGCTCTGTTTTCACCCTGGTAAATAACCGGTGTAAGGCTCTCTGTCTCCTCCTGGACTGCAGGATAGGCAGAGAAGGTGCTGAGGGCTTTCTAAGGAGCCAGGCTGACAGTTTTATTTCAGCTCGCTCGCTTGGAGTTGTCTTTTCTTGCTCTGCTCTTTTATGAAATGTACACATTGCTTTTCCAGTGTGTTTTTATGATGTCAGGCTGGCACATGAGGCTGGCAGCAGCTAACCCTGCCCATGGTTTGGGCCAGGCTCCCGCAAGAAGCTGAGTGTGGCACAGTGAGCTGCCTGCAGATTTAGAGTGATTGCTGTACACATAAGGGTTGGTGGCTGGTTTGGCATTAGTCAGAGCTGTCTGCAGGCAGAAAGTCAGCTCTTGTGTGTATGGATTGTTCAGGCTGGAAGTCTTTAATGCTCTCCTAATTCCCTTGGTTTGGAGGTCAGCTTTATTTTTCATACATCTCTAAAAGGTGCTATTCTTTATAATTCTGGCTTTTATCTGCATTATGCTTTTTCCATTGCATTTGGTAGATAAGGCAACTCTAATTGAAAGGTTTATTTTCAAAAGGTGAGGAAAAAAAGTAAATACCTAGTTCAGTAATGCTCTACTCCACATTCTGTAGCTCCTTTAACCTGAAGGAATCTCTGGCCACCATCGGGGAGAAGGTGTGTGCTGAAGTGAACAGCTGCCTTTCCCAGCACGGCTTTACACCGTTCTCAGCAGAGAGAGAGACTGTGCTTAAAGGGCAGATCCAAGCAGTGGCCAATCCAGACAACACCATCTGCAGGCTCATAGGTACGGCTGGCACTGCTGCTCTGCTCTCCTGTCACCATTCTCTGGGTAACTGGTGGGGGGGTGTCGTGCTGGGCTTCCCATTTCATATCTCAGATACTCGACTGTGTTCAGGCCTGTTGCATTTTACGTGAGATTACCCCATTTCTAATGGACCCTCTCTTTTGAAAACAAACCAAACCCCGTTTTTTTCCAGATTCTCGAATTCAGAAGTTTCTGGAGAATTATCTTGCATCCAGTCACCAGAAAACACTACCTGCTATCCCTGGAGGGTTGGGCCCTATCCAAAGAGAGCTGGAAGAGGTTGCTGCCAAGTACGTTCGTCTCGTCAACTACAACAAAATGGTCTTCAGCCCTTACTACGATGCAGTCCTTGGCAAAATACTGACTAAGGAAGAATCCCAAAGAGTAGGGAAGCCAGAAGAGTCATAAACCCAGTTTGTGTGCTACCAATACGGTATTGTCAGCTATTAAATAAAAATTGTACCAATATTTGTCTAGGAAAACAGCTTCCCGTGTAAATACTGGTTCCTTCTAATTCACGAGTGATGGTTGATGAAGGAAATACACGAGGTGCAAAAGGGGTTCTGAAGTCAATGATGAGAGATGCATTTTCAATGTAAGGATGCAACCTAGGGGGGAATATCATGGTAGTTTTCTGGCTGTAATTTTTACATTTTGGAGCTGATTCTAGGTAGGGCAAGTTTAAGAACAAAACTTCCTATTTAAGTGGCTCATTTTAGGGCATTCAACTCTTAATTTACAGTGAATTTAGTTTAATTAATCCAGGGCAGTTTAGCAATGGTTCTTCCCAGAAGGGGTGATATGGTTTTAAAAAAATCTTACTTTAAAGAATTAAGAAAGCTAAAATTCTAGATAAGAGGAACTTCAACAGACACAAAACCAACCCAAACAGCACTTTATTGTAACATTATGGTCACTATGGTAGGCTACTAGTTTTTTCTGCATTTTACTGCATTTTTAATAGCATTTTTTTGCTGTTTACCTGCAGATGTTACAAAACATAATATATTTTTGTAGTAAATTTTCTGGTTATTGGGTAACTGTCCTCTGCTATGTACAGTACTTACAAAGGTGGCAATCTTATAGATTGCAGCTGTATTTATCTCTTGTAAAGACTTAAGAAGGGCAGAGCTAAAATGTTTTGATAAAAGTGGTATTTCTTACCTTGTTTTGCTAGTAGTTTCCTCCTTTTTATGTGAGATAGTAATTTTAAAGTAAATCTGTGTCACTTTCAGAAGGTGGATTTAAAGTGTGAAACTTCAGGCTGGAAAGTTTACCTTTTTTTTAAAAAAAAACTACAACAGGAGACGGTTGCATATTCAATCATGTCTTCAAAACTAGCTAGGAAGTGCAGAGCACTCTGGGCAGTATAAGTGATTTATAATGTAGCGTGAGAGGTGAATGACTTAGTTTGAATATACAGGGAATATTTTCAGTAGATTTTTTTCACATTGTAGAGGTGTTCTTGGAACTTAGAATATTTGTAGGCCTTGAATTTCATTGGCTATGTGTTGTGTAGATGAGTGTTCTCAGAAGAGCTCAGTGACCTTACAGCCTCATTGCAGCTTCAGACTCAGCTGGGAGGTAAGTGCATCTGAAATTTCCCTCTAGTTGAGCACAACAGTGTATTGCAGTAATGAATATTGGATGGTTTTAGGAAAGCAAAGTTCATAGCTATAAACAGTAAGTGGTCCAAGTACTAAGCTATCCAAGCCAGAATGTCTTTAAAAAAAAAGAAAATAACCAACAAGGGATGTAAAATAAATAAATAAAAGGGCCCTTTTATTGCCAACAACCAGGTTAATTTATGAATCAACTAGTCAACCAAAGTAGGAGAACTTCTAGAAGCACTTGATTATGAATCAGTGTTGATGCTTCCCTTTCCAGTTTTCCTTTAAATCTCAGTGTGGATAGGGGTGCACTGACTTTGATTTTGGAGGAAGACAAGATAAATAAGACCTTTTTTCTATATTAGCCTATGCAACTCTAAAACAAATTTTTCTCACTGGTTACAAACCCCCTTCCCCAAGGGAAAAAAACCAAACCAGCAAACCCTGTAAGAGTTTACCAGTTCAGACAGATTTTTCTCTCTTGGCTAAATAAACTCAGACAGTGAAATGAATGTCTTTGAATCTTTGGCAATTCAGAAATGAGTAGGTTGGTTAGCCAGACAAAAAGGCTTCTGAGTAGGCTTTTGGTGTGGTCTGTGTCACTGTTTGGATCAGCAAAGGATACTAGAGAGGTCTGCAAGGTTGCTGTGTCTGCTCAGTGGGCTTTGTTGTTACTGCAGGACCCACCTCTCAGTGCAGCTGCGGGAGTTAATCGACAGTCTGAGCAACAACGAGCTGCCAGAGCCATTATGGCTGGAGATATAACCAAAATACAAAGCTGTTTTCAGTTTTGCTGCTGTTATTTTATCTTTTAGCATTTCCTAAGAACTGCCTCTAAAACCCCTGGGATTTAGAGACACTACACAAAGTTAGATGCCGTAGGGGACGATCTCGAGGATGTGGGGAGGAACAACACGACAGTGAGACAGAAAAGCCCTTGACCAACATAACTGATGGCAGAGTGAAGGGAACTGAATTATCAATGGCTGCTCCCAGGTCTGGGATTCAGGGTCCAGGTGTCCTGACATTGCAGCAGGGATTGTGCTGCCAGCAGTGCTCGTGTATTGCTCGCAGGGTTGATACAGTAAATCCCATCTCTCCTCACAGGAGGGGTTTGATCCTAAGGCTTAATATAGGAAAAAGCCATAGAACCATAGAAGAGTGCAGTACTCTCCTCTGGCTCCAGTCTCACTTCTGGGGGTGGGTGCTGCAGGCCTTCCAACAGTAAAGATCTGAAGGCACTGTAATAAATGCCCACAAGTGCAAATCACCTTAATGATTTTCCCAAGTTGTTTTTTTAATGAGAGCATCTGACAAACAGTGTTTCTACATCCTCACAGAAAGAAATAGGGAGATACAACTGAGTAGCAGAGCAAGAAAGGAATGCCAGGATTGCTAAGGCCAGTTCCTCCCTCCACCTGAACCTTTCCGGGGTTCACCTCTCCCCCTGGCAGAGAGAAGCACTGACCCACAGGCAGCTGTGCTGCTGGAGATGGGAACGTCGTTAACTTTCCCCAGTATCTGAATGTCCTGTAGTCCCAGGGGGTTCTTGAGATCCTATCAGAGTGCCATTCTGAATAGCCAATTACAAGTTAAAAGCTCAAGTACACATAGAAACTGCTTTGAAAGCTCACATAGTGTTTTTTTTTAGCTCGTTTGAAGGTAACAAGTGAAACGATGTAGCTGATTATTAACATTTAGCTTTGTACCTTACAGTGGAAGAGCAGTGCAGGTGTCCAGGACCAGCCTGTGTTAGCCAGTGGTCCTGGACAACCCCCCTTTGAATCATATACTGAGTTAGTCTTAGGATGCTGTCTTCTTCAAGCAGTCATGGAATTACAAGCAAAAGTGTACTGTATCCTCTAGAGAAATGGAAAACAAGCTAATTCTAATATGTATGCTCTGACCAATTTCCTGTGACGGTCTTATTAGCATTGCTTTTGAAGTGGCTGAGTAATATTTAAGAAGTACCTTATTGTGTTTGAATAAAACCAGAATGAGGCATGAAGTTATGGACATCCTTTTATTTTAAAGGAATGTTTTTTGGTTTTTATGCGATTTTCAACTACAAAACAGATTTCTTACATTCTGCCATAAATAAAAACGGACAATAAGGCAGTACACTACATGAACAAACTGAGAACAACTGTTTTCCAGAAAATGTGAATTAAAAATGCTTCACAAGTATAAGCCATCCAGTTTTTAAAATAAAACTGTTAAAAAACCACGAGATTTCAAGTGGTAGATGTGAACACCCTCGAAGAACAAAATACAGTTTTGACATTTTTCACTTTAGGTTCTGAAAACCTAGTTTTGTTCAGAGCACATTCTAAGGTTGTTCGGGCTGTTTTCAGATCAAGAACCATATGGAAGAAGAGGCACCACAGTAACAAAACCATTTTCAAGGATTTTTTTTTCGTTTGCAGCTGTCCCTTTTAAATGCTTGACTTTTCAGAGACTGATTCAATGCAAGTCTTTGTCTGTCACAGTCGAACCCCAGACTCGTTTCACCGGATTCTCTTTTGCTGTCGTGCTCTGTAAATGTCATGTACAGGGGGAACTACAGATCCTTTCTCCTCGTCGTCATCAGAATCCTCATGTGATCTCTTCACAGCCTTGTTGAGGATGGTGCTGTTTTCCACAGGTCCATTGCCCTCCACAGCTATTTCTGGCAGGCCGCCGGTAATGATCCGCACAGCTTCATCGACAGCTTCAGAGAGAGACACAGGTTCATTGGATTTGGGAAACTGAATTCCCTGATCAGAAATCAGCATGCCAACAGGGACACCAAGAGAGAGACGTTGGGGACATTTCTGGAACGTAAAACATTTTTCCTACCCTGTTCTACAAATATTAAGTCTTGACTGTCTGAAACTCTGAGCAATGGTGAACACTAATTACAAAGTAGATGCTGCTGCTTCAGCTTGAGCCCTCCCTCTGCACGGGCACTGAGGGCACCTGTGGGCTTCAATAAACCAGGGAGGCCTATTGAGGAACAGTATAACTAGTTCATGATTCACCAGAAGGTAGGCAGAGCAGTTTCTGCTTATCAACAGAGGAAGCTCCAAAAATACTGCGTATGATTTAAATAGATATTTTATTTTCACTCAAATTCAATCCTAGCTTGCTTCCTCTGTGATCTCCCTTAGCTTGTCCTCAAGCACTGCAAGGACATGCATTCAGAGTTATGCCCACCAGTGAACTGCTGCAAACCTCTAATTCCATATTACAGCCATGATGCTGCTGGAAGTAATGCCCTGCTGCTTTTACAGGATATTCTGAAAGTCTTCATTTCTTTCCTTCAATGGTTATCTCACCAACACCTTATTAAAGGAGCAGCTGGTGATTTTCAGCTTTTTGGCTTTTTGTTATCTCCCCCCAGGTAAATGTACAAATGTCTCTATGTAGATTCCAGCCTAGAAACACAGCCAATCTCTTTTGCTCTTAAACACAAATTGCACATCTGTAAATGAGGTCTGGATTTTAGACAGCAATATCCATATGTAAAACCATGTCTTATACTGTCACAGCTTCCAGAGAGGACAAGTAACTTACTGTCTGGCAGTTTGCATCTTCTAAATATCTCCATGAGCTCATCTACTTGAACAAAGGGACCCTGATTTGTTACAAAAAAAAAGAAACAAAAAAAAAGTTTAGAAGGTTATTTTCAATGGAGTGATACATACTGTGGTTCTGTCACAACAGAATCTCTTCCACAGCTTTCTGAAATTTTGAGAATGCATTAAAACAAACCTGAAAACAAATAGGAGGTGGCAGGAGCTTCATGAGAACTACAGCTGCTGGTGGAACAGGAAATACACCACCTGGGACGGGATGTAAACCTGGAGCTGTGGGAAGAAAAAGTATATGAAGCCAGTGCAAGACAGCTAGACCAGAATTGTTCTTGCAGCATTATTATTTGATGCAAATAATTGCTACCCTGTCCCTTTGGCCCCTACTAATTACATACTGTTTAGTCAGTGATCTGCTCTATGAGCAGTGTGTGTAACAGCTTATTACCATTTAACCCAAACTACTCGTACTTATTTCCATGTGACCTTAATACTAAGTAAAACATACACAGTGAAATAACAGCCTCAAATTTAAGTACAGGTTTAGCTGACTGGAGACTAGGGGAGTCTCTGATTATTTGACTCAACACACAGGTTCAGAACTCGCCGCCAGGTGAAACACAACCCCCTCCAGCCGAGGGCTGACTTACGTGCTAAGTGTCTTGGCTGAAATGGAATCATTTGCTGAGTGTCCGGTTTGGGATATTCGGGTTTTCTGTCTACTTCATCCTTGAGAACAGGCACGATGGAAGGTGCAACCACAGGGTCTGGAATTATTGCTGCTAGCTTGGCACGGGAGACATCCTGACAAAGGCAATCAGAGAGTGCTGAACTTGGCAGGACCACACGGCTTGTTTAAATCACAGAACAAAACATCTTGTCATCATTATCATTTCAGATGTCCTCTTGCAAGACCATCTGGGCAAAACTTGCATGTTTTCATCAAGCATTTTAGTCCTACAGGGTCCCAGCTGGGAGTGGAAACACTTGGTTCTGCTACTGAACGGGACCACGTTTGTCATTTTTGAGCGGCCCCATTTTTAGGTTAAAAAAATTTAGGTGAACAGGTGCAGACCACTAGGCCTTCACAACTATCATTTCTCCCTCATTTCATTCCTAGATTGCTTTAGCTGGATAAGAAATAAAGCATAAGGCAGTCAGCAGGCATGCAAAGCATCAGTTCAAACAGGATTATGTTTTGGCACGTTACAAGCAACAGGAATCAGCCCAAGGGCTGAACCATCCTAGGTACACACTGCCCTGCAGGCACCTCCCAAGAACTTCTCTCTTTTACCCACACCTTTAACTTCAAAATAACTTTGTCCCCACTGCATTCAAAGGAAAGTGTTCAGTGGCTCAATGTGACTCTGATTTCCACCTATCAGATTATTTTACAGCTCTGTGATGAGCAACAATTCAGCTGCTCTGCTAACTTTGATGTCATCTGGTTTTTTCCTAAATTACTCTTCTGTGTAAGAAATAACTGGAAGCTGAGGCACTGTTTTAGAGACATAAATTGAAGGCCCTCTTCCTGTCCATGTAAATGGCAATCAGCTGTTTCTCTAGCAGCCTATTTACTTCACGCTTAAAAAAATATTACCCAACATTTTATCCTGTTCTATTGGTTTTGGAAGTGGTATGGCCTTCCACATGACTGAGATAGTAGTTAAAATATATGTGGTTAGAAACAAGACAGGAGACCACCAGATAAGAGGGTCTGGCCCAGACTTTAAATTCCAAATGGCAGCATCAAAGCACTTTAAGCCACAAGAAACAACAGAAACAAGCAGGCAGCCACTGATCTCTGTGCACAGTTTTCCTCAGCCACTGGCAGCAAACACGGGCACTGCAGCGTGTTTGGTTTGATCCAGTTCTCAGTGCAGTGGGTGGAGTGTTGCCACCTTGGAGTGGAAGGACGGCCAGTGATGTTTCACACAGATGACCCAATTCAGCAAACTTCTGAAAGAATTTGGGTTTTTGAAAGAGCTCAGGCTTACATTGGAAGTGGAGGCCTGTACTGAGTGGTGATGGCATGAACACATGGACCTTTCCATGGGAGGATGGAAGGTAAATATGAATACGTGAGGCTGCAGTTGTCGGTCGTGTTCCTTTCTGCCCTTGGCCCACTAAGCAAAGCCTGGCACTTTGCTGCCCACTGAGACAAGGAGGAGGAGAAGGCCTGTTTTACCTGCTTTTCCATCAGGGGGAAAAGTGTAAGGCAAGTCCTAAACAAGGAGTTCCTCAAGTTTCCTGGGACTGAAAAGCACAACAGTAAATTGAAGTGTTCTTACCCACTTACCTTATAACCAAGGGCCTTGAGTTCACTAGCAGAGCAGGGGTACAAGTCCATGAACTTGTACCTGTCCACCAGCAGAGCTGTTTCTTTGCCCTCATATTCCTCCTTGAATGCTGTGAACCTCCTCTTCTCAACTTTCAGTATGCTGGCTAAATCCCCAATGTTACTTTCAAAGGCTAAAAACCGAGCCCAGATTTCACTGTCAAAGAACAGACACAGTGACAGTTACTGAAGGAGAAAGAATCACTGATCACAGCCCAGCTAAAGAACACAAAGGAAGGACTCAAAGGAGGCGATCTGGGAGCATGTGGCCATTTCTCTGATTTACTTCAGATGCATCTCACACATGTGTTGCCATCCCAGGGCCTTAAATATTTCTGTAAAAACTTTCAATCTAGTGGACTGCAAAGGACTTTGTTATGGAAAGGAAAGGATTACTGGTGTCAAGGACTTAGCATCTCAGGTAAGCTCTTCTCAGTGTAAGACACACAAATGTGTGTCAAGAACTTTTCACCATACATTATGGTCTAGTTCTTCTGCACAGACCAACATATTCTAGCTGGCAAGAGCAGTAACCTATGACACAGCAGGCACTGCTTCAGAATTTTACATAGTCCAAAAATATATATAATTACTGCAGATTTCTCTGTGGAAAATCTCGGATATAACTTAAGCAACATCCAACCATTTTTCTGAACTTGATTCAACTTTTATTTTAGCCTTGGAATTCACCTTTGAAGATGATTCAGCTTTTAATTTCTTGGGTTTTCTCACTTTTAAAATGGACATAAATGTTATTTCTCACAAAAAGATCAGAATTAAAGTGCAGAGTGAATATGCACAGCAGTGCCATGTTTGATTGCTTAGTTTTGATGCTTATGTCTACCAGAATAATAATGGTGAACACTCAGACTGCAAGGGCTGGGTAAGTATTTTTTTTTGAGAAATCAGCTTAAAAAGTAGGAATGAAAATGTGGTGGTTAATCCAAGTCTTTTCTAGTTCTCTTCCTATTTTATTTTCAGTTGGCTGGGAGGTGTTCAGCACTCTCCTCAACAAATTCCTGACTCACCTCCTCTGCTCAAACTATTGAATCCTTACTGCTCATTGAATGCCCCTGCTCAAACCACTGAGTCTTTACTGCACAGGAGGATTTTGCACTGTATCCTCAACAATCCCGCATCACTGAGGTTTTAAAGTCAATAAACAAATGAATTTCTCTAGAAGTGGGATAGGGACTTTCACAAATCTGTCGCAGTTGTTGCTGTTTTAGGCAGCATGAAGAGGGGAAGGAACATCTGTGCCTAATTTTGTCCTGCTGTTGGTCTTTCTGATTTCTTTGGGATATTTATGGTTGAAAGGGGTTTTTAGTGTAGTGAAACTGCTTTTGCAGACATACCCAGATTTCTCAGGTGGAAGGCTCCCCGAAGTTAAAACACGTTCAAACAAAACTCTTGTATTGTTGTCCTCTAGAAAGAAAAAAAGAAAAATCACACTAAGTAAAATACATTAAAGACAATTCAAAATCATGTCCATTCAAAGAAATGTGTACATTGAATTATATATGAGGCTGATATTCTGATACTTGGATTTGAATTTCAGTAAGTATAAAAAGAGATCTGAATACCCACATAAAACTTTACTGGTGTTAAATTCCATTGCAAATTTGTTCTTTGGAAGTTTATTTTTGTTGATAGCAACAAACTGATCCTAATCCAGGTTCTTTTATAACAGCACAGCAATTGCTTGGCATCTCTTCAGGATTTTTGGGGGTTTTTTTCCATTTTCTTTAATTATCAGAATAGTATATCTCGGTAGATTTAAATTTGGCCTTTCAATTCATTACTTCCCTTTTAAACTAGGGCTATATTAATATACTTGTATATTCCTCAGAAGCCCTCCCCAAACTATTAGGCCTGGTTCCCAACAAGCCCTCAGTGTTTGTATGTTGCCAGCTGGGGCAATGGAGTGGTTGGTGGGTTTGTTCCTTAACCTGCCAGCTTCTGCCCCGTGTGTTGTACCATCCCTTACAGGAGTTCAGGGATCAATTCCCTTGGTCTGCAGTAGCCTGCTGGGTCATTAAAACACAGCAATACACTAGGGAATTTTAAGAACTTTTTTATTTCTGATGGCAACCTACAGAAAGGCATCGCAAATATTCATGTAGACCCACAATAATTTATTGCAAAATTAAATATACTGGAACTTGGGGAAAAAAACCCCTCTGTTTACAGGTCACAGGAGGAAAAAATCCTCCAAGCCTGTTCAAACTTTCAGAGCCTGAAAAACCAAAGTGCTGCAGTCTGACAGGAGATTCATGTGCCCGGTGCCTGCAGAAGGCAGTGTAGGTTCAGGAGAGGCAGCAGCACAACTGCCCACAGCCCCTGGCTCACAGCTATTCCACCCTGTGTTACACCTCTGGGCTGTTATGCCACAAACACTGAACCAGAGTATTGACTACTTGAAGAAATACCCGAAAAAATCTGAATATCTAACGGGTACCAGACAGGACTGGGCAGAGGAAGACCCTGGGATGAACTGCTCATCTCCCTCTCCTTCAATTCCCCAGTTCCACACAAAGGTCTCCGTCAGCCCCTGCTCCCCACAGCAGCCTGGTTTCTTATAAGAGGGATATTCACTCCTGCCTCAGGAAATCCCACCCAGAGACCTTCCCCCCCCACCTCCACCTCCTGCCCGTGCCCTGCTCTTCCCACTGCAGACCAGCTCCCTGGCAGCTTCCAAGCAGGACTGATATGCACAATATTGATTTTCTGTCTTGCTCATCATATCTACCCGGGGAGAATGAGTTTAAATTAATTCTAGTCGGGACCAGTTAATCCCTCACTCCTCTCACGCTGATTTTGAAGTCCTACAGATCTTTTTCCTCAGGATTTAGATTTCTCAGTGTCCTTCCCACCGTTCACAACAGATGCTGTAAAACTCCTGCAATGCCAGTGAGTTACAATTTGGAAAGTTCACTCTCCTCTGATCAGTAGCATGAAGATCTAATGTTCTGGAACTTCAGTAAGGACAAAAGAACAGGTTTTGTTTTCAAATTAACTCCCAAATTTCATGAAGAGATTTCGCTGCTCTTCAAGAAAGATTTAAATACAAGGAACTTGGCCTGAACCTAAACTCACAGAGAAAGCAGATTAATGCTCCATTAGACCTCCCAAAGCTTAGAGCTTACCATTAAGGTGAGAAAGGTAGTCAATATATGCCAGCACATATTCTGGAATGTCCCCATATTTTTTCAGCCCTAGCTCAAAAATCTTAAAGGCCACAGACTTATCCTGCAAACATTAAAAAAACACAAAAAGCAAAGAGTTATTAGCTTCAGTGAGCTACACACACCCTGCTGACACTTCTGTGTTGTCAGACTGAGCACCTGTGATTACCTTGCTACAGTAATACTCCATCAGAGCTGCTGTAACATAGACGTGGTGCCGGGTCCGGGCGTCCTCTCGCGCCTTCTTAAATATCGTCCTTCCAGATTTGATGCCCTCTGCTCTCCTTGCGAATTTCATATATTGGATATAAACCTAAGGTGCATATTAATATCGATACAGCATCACTGCTAACCAGGATACCAGGATATCATCAAGTTTGGTTTTTTTTTACTGTATCTGACATATTCTTCACTCATAAAATACAGCGAACAAGTCACAATAGAAACAAGGCTGTGCTGTGCTTCCGTGTTGTTTTGCTATAAATAATGAGGCAAAACCCTTTTTATAGATTTTTAAAAAAGAAACTGAATATACCTAAGACTGACTCCCTGAAAAGACAATAGTTAATACACAGATTTTTCAAGGAAGGGGAGGTAAGGAAATGAATGTAATTTACATGAACTGTTGCCTTCAGAGAACTCGAGGATCAGTGTAAAGATGGTAACTTTCCAATAAAGCCAAGACATCCAAAAGGCTGAAGACCAGCCAAAAGGCTTGATGAAGCATTTTACTGTACATTATACAATCCAAGATAAAAATAATAATTCAGTCGGCAAATATTTGTACCTGAGCAAGGAAATAATGTATGTTCTGCTTAATTCAGTGGCCAATTTGTGGTTTGCCTTTCTTTGGGATTCAACTTTCCTTCACTCTGAATTAGATCACAAATAACACCATTCCTCAAGCAGGAGGAAACGGGACATGGTTTCTCATAAAATGTGCATTTGGGAAACATTATGATCTGTCTTTAAAGAATGGAAAGTGTCAGTAAATGGATACCTTTCCTCTGACACTGACCTGTTGTTTCATTTTAGACCTCACACCGTCTTTTTCCTTCTAATGCTTTGATGTGTCTATTTATAAACTAAATTGCTTCTTGAGAGCAGGTTACTTCTCACACCACTTGTTCAGCTCTACCACAGCTGGCACTAGGGACAATGTTTATAACTTCAGCAGATGCACAGCAATACTCTTGGATACTTATATGGTGCATTACAAATTTATATACAAACTACAGGTACACGGGATGGTGTATTTTTATGTAGGGAGAACAATGGACAAAAGCAACATGGTTTTAATCAGGTCAGGGGGGGCAAAGTGAAATTTCAGTTGAGACAAACATACATCAATTCTTAAGAGCTGTGTCATGAAATATTTTATATCTTATATCTGTTTTAAGAGACTGTCCAAAAGAGACAGAGGAGGAGAGCGCACATGACTTAGTGTATTTAAGTGAATTAAAGACTGTACTTATCAACCTTCCCGAAATTTTAATCTAATTCTGTCATCTCATTACTCCACCTGCTCCATCACCCTTGTGAGCCAAGGAACTCCTGTGAGCTCTTGCCCACTCTGTACATGTGTTTGAGTGACTATCCATGTACATGTGGGAAAACTCAACACCAGGCATCATCTTACCAGGGTGGGGTCGATGTCTTCGATGGCCAGGAGCCGGTTATATATGCTGTGCACCTTCTCATACTTCATTCGACTCTAAGGAAATACAGGAAATACAGACTGCATGGTAACACCATTCCACAGCACCTCTGAGAATGCACAACTCAATCTGAATTAAAAACTAGACTTTTTCTGTTTCCATTTTTCCCCAGCTGAACACTGTGTACGTCAGTCCCCTTACTCACAAGCTGTGCAGTCATTTTTTTACTTCCCAACATTAATTTCCCAGTAGTGCTTATGTACATGCTTTTCAAGAGCCTCTGAGGTCTTTTTCTAATGTAGTAGTACTGCAGCAGAGCTGTCATTGTAGGTGTTTGGGATAAGAAGACTGTTTCCTTTATCCCTGTCTAAAAGTAATGTGTAGACAGGTAGGAAAAGCACCTTCACTCTCCAACCTACACATTTCAAATAATCCATTCAGTTCCCTGCCAGCTTCAGCCCTCCAAGTTGGATTGTGCAGCCTTAGAAAAACAGGACATTTAGCACACAAGAAGCTGCACTGAAAGCCGAGGAAGGCTCTGTCTTTTAAGGGCAAAGGCTTTTTTTTTTTCCCCCTGTTGTCCTCACAATCCTCCTGCAAAGACTCTTCCATGTTACAGTAAGTGGCAAACTACACCTCATGGAGGACTCCCTAGTCCTCATCTGATCAGTGGGAAACAGCCTTTATTCCTGGTGGTTCATGTGCAAAACCACCCAGGGCTGCACCAGAAAGCTGCAGTACAGGTGCCTCCCAGCTTCCATCACAGCAAACACAAATATTAACCCCTCAAGAACTACATAGAAAAGATGCTCTTTATGCCCACTTTAAAAGTGAAGAAGCTGATGCTCCAGTAAATGTAAATTTATAAGCAATTCACCCTTATGACAATTTGAAAATTATAGTCAATATTTAAGTGGAAAGACAGTAGATTTTCAAAACTTTTGTAACCCATACTATGAGATTTTCCTCTCCATTTTGTCAGCTCAGAAACCCTGAATGGGAGTCAGGCTAGAAGAATCAGTAAATTAATTCTATAGAATTCTGTCTATTAAGTATGTTTCAAATAAATGACATTATTGATGGGAGACATCTTTGGATTTTAATGTCACTATTTTTGCTTACCTCTTCATAATCTGCATATGCAAAATAAAGAAGCATATTCTTCTTTAATAAAGTGCTGATTGCTCTTTCATAAATATTAGCAGCCTCATCACTGAAGAGTTTAGCATTGTTCATGTCCTGTTATAAAATAAGTATAATAATGTAATTGTTCAGCATCTGTGACAACAAAGGCCAATATATGGAATATCTTGTGTGTGACAAGTCCTAGTGAATTTCCATGCAGTGCTCCAATAAAGAGTTAATCATGTCCCCAGTACTTAGGGAATCACAAAACCAGGCCCAAAAACTCCCCCAAACCTAAAAATGAAACCTAAAACTCCCCCAAACCTACCTTTGCAAGACTGAAATAGTTTTTCATAATTCTCACCTCAAATAAAGAAATTTTTAGTTCTTACATCAGGCCCAATTTTAAAATTCTGAACACGACACAACTTACTGTACTATATATATTTTTCACACTCCCCTCTTTGGCTCTTAAGTATTTGACCCCAAAAAATAACAGTACACCATGTCAAAGCAATTAAATAAGAGAAAACCAGTGGCAACCTGCTTACCCCTTTCTCAGCCAGCAGCTTACTGGACTGCTCGAGGTACTGTGCTGCCTCATACCAGATGTCTGGGTGATGTCCCAGCACCAGAAGACATTGCTCGTAAGCAAACATCACTGTGGGCAAGAAATGTAGGAAAACACTCCTAAATCACTGCAGAAATGGTACCATCTTGCACAATGGAAGTGTGAAGTACAAAAATCACCAAATAAATCAATGTTAACACTAACTGGCTACAATGATCACAACTGCAGCCCTTTTATATTGCCAGAAACTTTATTAATCAGAACCAGCAGCTAAAATCTGCTGAAGAACAACTCATTCAATATCAGCCATAAAAACTAGGATGTGATCCACTGTTTCCTGACTTCCAGTTGAAGTTCAGTGGCACATGACTATAGCACTGTCCCCCAAAATCCTTGTATTGCTTTCAGCTTGTGGTTTCAGCTTGGTTTGTACTTTCAGCTTGGCTTGAGTAAAATCTAGTTTGTTTTTTTAAAAGAACACTCACACAATTCAAGAAACTTGATTAACTTCTGCTCCAGCACGAATCCTGAACACCAAATCACGACATCATTTGTGCCGGAGGTCATTAACGAAGTCAGAAAACATAATTCTACCTGCCCTAACAGTATCTAATTACCTCTTTTTGTTATAAGAGTTTGATCTTCTGTTCGGAGAGGGTTGCTCTTTTCCCACTGGATGTACTTCTTCCACATGTCCACCTGCTGAGCCTCCTGGGGGGTGTTTTGAGGGGGCACAGAGGGAGCGTTGCGGTCCAGGCCTTTCATCACTGTCTCATATTCCTGAAGCAGAACCAACGTTTTGAAGAGCAGATTTAAACACATTCAGCTTATTTTATTTATCTTATGCTTTCTAAAATAGATACAAATATTTTATCAGACCAACCTTATTAACCTGACACAGCTTTATCTAAAACAAGAACCGATTTTAATGATAGCTTGTAGAATTAAAGAGAACAAAGGGAAGTCAACAGAAGGTTGTACCTTTGCAACGCGTCGTGCGTTCATATAATCTCTACTCCTGTCCTCGATCATCTTCTTAGCTAAGTGAATATTGATGCCCTGGAGAAGGGTGAAAAAATGAATTGGGAATTTGCAATTTCACTTCGGAAACACTGAATCTTATTTTACACAGGAAAGAGTTTGAAAAGGGATGGAATTTGAGCAAGGACAAAGTTATTTTAAAAGGTATTGCATTTCTCCTAATAAAAGTATGGGCAAGATCTTGTATCAGAGAACAAACTCACTACTAAAAATCAACTGACCTGAAGCACCTCAGCATACTTTTAATTACTTTCAAAAGTACTTTACATAAACTGCTGGGGGCAAAAGTGGAAAGAATGTGTTTGTGACTTACAATTCTGCTTTTAAATGATGATCAGTACTTAGTCACAGCTCCCTGCCTTGCTGCTCACCAGGTGACAGCATATGAACAACTCCATTTTCTCGTACAAGAAGTAACACAGATTGACCTCCAGGCTCTGCCTTCTCCTCTGTTCCTGAAGTGACAGCTTTTAAAAGAGGTTCTATTCAACATACTCCCAGCTGTGTACCTTTGTCAGTTGAGAGGGACTCAAGCTATGTCACCACTGAGAGTGGCACCCCTCCAGGACTGCACACAGGGGAGAGGGCTCTGCTGTGCTGCTGAGCAAGAGCAGAGGGGTTGGGGGCAGCTGGGCCCTGGTCACAGGGTCCTGGGCATGAACAAAACCACAAAGAACTGCTCTTACAGCAGGGCAAGAAACCTCCCTTTTGCTGCTGCCTGTGTGCGGGTGGATTTTGCTGGCGTGGCTTAGCAAGACTTTGAGGAAGGTGGGCACAGCTTTCAGTCCTATTCCAAACAGGCACCCAGGCTGGGTACTGACTCAGTAGGGAAGCAAAGGCACTGTGTGGGCTCGTGCAGGGTGCTGTGTGGGCTAGCTCACAAACCCAGTAATGCCCCAGTTAACCCAGGACCAGGCTGAGGATGCAGCTGGATCCTGCCGGGATGCACTCCCAGCTCAGCAGTGAGCCAAAGACTGTCCCTTTGTCACTGGGACAGCGGGCTCACTGGGGGTGTTGCCACTTTTGACCATTTAGTTAATTAAAGATAGTGGTGACTGACAGGCTGATATTGCTACCTGGTGGTGGCTATGGCTGAGCTGAAGGGAAGCTTGAGAACACTCAAATTAGAGCAAACAGCCATTAATCTTTCATACAAAGACCTGCACGTGATCGCTGTGTTGTTGGGCTACTGATGTGGGGAATCACCTCCCCCTCAAAGGTGAGGAGCATCTCCCTGTGCCAGGACCCCTGCAAGCAGCAGCCCTTCCCCTTGAGGCCAGTTTAGCCAGAACAGAAACCTGTGTCTGAGCAGAGCACTGGCCCTCAGCTTCCTGCAGCTCTGAACAGCCTGAGGGACAGGTTTGAGTTACAGATGTCAGCCAGACCTGCCTCAACCAGAAACTGGACAGGTTTGAGCTGTTGTTTTGACAGTCTTCCTATGTACTAATGAAAGGAGTGGGAACCAACAGTGACAGCCTCCATTCGCTATGTGGGAGGGGACGGGAAGGTTTACAGGGAAGTTGTATCAGAGATTTTCCTGCACAGGAGAAGGCACAGCACTGGATAACTTCCCTGCTGTCAGCAGGCTGGCTGGGGTGTCCCTGAACAACAGGGCAATGAGCTGTTACAGTACACGCTTGTGGGTCTGGATGCTTGGAGTTCTCCCACCCAGAGGTCCTCCCGTCCAGAGTTCTTCCACCCAGAGCTATTCCCACCCAGAGCTATTCCCACCCAGAGGTACTCCCACTTGCTAAGCACATCATGAGAGGTCATTAAGAGCACTACTTGCTTAATTAGCACCAAGGAAAGAGAAACTGGCCCTTCTTCCCTGCTCAGGGCACAGCTGGCCCACAGCATGCCAGCACCTGCCAGCCTGGGCACAATCAGCAGGACAAGGGAGAACGGTGGATGAGCATCCCTGCCTGGCAGTGCTGAGCATGAGGGCAGCTACACTCACATCTGCATTCTCACTGAGCTGACTGGGGCTGGTAAAACAGCTGGTAACAGATGTGTTTATAAATATACTGTAAAGGTGCAGCTACAGCTTAGCCTGTCAGGCCAATGAGCTGAGGTCACGCTCGCTCAAACTCATCGGAATGGATGCTGGAACGGCTTCGGGGGAAGGATGGTGAGGAGCATTTTACAAATACTTAAGACCATGTAACTTGATGCAGTGAAGGAAGTCCAAACCATCACAGCTGAATGCCATTTCACCCTGTTCAACTGGAAGTGAAAGGAGGGGAGTGCCTCCTGGGGGACACCAGCCCTCACTGCCACCTGTGCTGCTCCAGCTTCCATTAGATACATTCTCCATCCCTGGTGACAGAGATTTCTAACTCACCAGCAATTCCACTGGGAAATGGGGCAGTCAAACGTATCTTATGGAGAGTCTTTGAAATAAATTTTAAAATTCACTCAGGTACCTGTAGAGTTTTGCCCCAGGTCTTGGTACAAACTGCACACACAAAAGATGTTCATACTGCTGGTCACCGCTTTTATACTTAATTATTTAATGGATATGGTTCGGGCACCACATTTGGCTATTATTACTTTCTTAATGTCACAAACAATCATGTTGTTGATTACCTCTTCGTATTTGTTATAATCTCTCCAGAGCTGCTCTATGTTTATCATTGGATTCACACACCCACGCTGGTAAACCCTACGGACAGCTGTTATCCTCTGGTTCTCTGCATAGGATCCTACTGCTTCTCTAGAGAGTGGGAGAGAAATTCATGTCAGGTCATCACTGTGAACACCAGCATTACATCCACTGAGCTTAAAAAAAAGTCTTTTAGAAGGTACTTACACGCCTTTCAAAAAATTGATGTAATCCACCCAGATCTAAGTGAGAAAAAATATTACATATAATGAAACCAATGTTCAGTTGTACTTGTTAAAAAATTAGAAATAAAATGTGCTTTGATTAAAAAAAAAAACATACCTGGTATGACATGATTTCCATGCCAATCTTATCCAGAGCAAAATCATATGCCTGAGCCATTTTTTCTCTGAGGAAAAGAACAAACCACAAAGACCATAGAGCAAGTCTTCAGTATTTAAAAATTCTTTATTTAAAGAGCATTCTTTTGTGCAGCAAATTCTAACATTGAGGAATGAGAAATATCATTCAACGGCTGAGAGCAAAAACTGGCATTCAGATAGCTTTAAATTCTGTATTTAGGTTATGTTGGGGCTTTGCCTTTTTGTTTTATTTAAGAAAATTATTTAAAACTATTGGTGGCAATCCAGCACAATAACAGTTCCTGGTCCACCCTCCCAAGTCAGTGGAAACCCACGTGGACTACGAGAAGTTGAGAAGACAGAAAACAACTGCTCTCCACATCTTCTTAGCTGACAGATGCACTCATGGTTTCTTTTTTTTTCCTTTTTCCCCTCAGATCTTTTTGCAATTCTCCAGCAATACCAAAACTCTGGGGCAATTAGGATTAGCTCCCTTGCGTGGAAACCGATTTCTTGGTCCCCCAAATTCAAAGTATTTTCCTTCAGATTTAAAATGTTCACAGAATTTCCTTGGTTAAGTTTCAACTATGACTGTTTTTTCTCCCTACCACTTCTCTCCCCGTTTCCTTTACTCAAACATACTTCAGTACCCTCTTACCTCCTTGACAAGATTAACAGGAAAAAGAGAAGAAAGTTAAATTGGATAAAAAGATTGGGGATGGGGGAGTGGGCATTGGTACTTTTAAAACTGTTTCAAAACAGTCTTGCAAAAATAGAAAACCCTGCTTTTTCCCTCTGTTAATGCATTACTTATCTTGCCAGTTATTGTGCAAAGTAATTATGGTGGGCTGGGGAAGAGAGATTTTATAGACACTGGAAGTTACTGATATTTTCTGAAAATCAGTCCACAGGATTCTAAACAAGCAAAATGTTTAGTAACTGAAAAGGGATGAAAATTAATACAGCCCAAAATTCTGACACCCTGAATTTTATGCTTTTTTTTCTGCATTCCAAACCTTTTCTCCAAGGCCTGAACTATCTCCTGTTACTGGTCAAATACAGTACAGATGGAATCAATGCTGAATTTTGTGGAGACTCTAAACAGGACACTGAGGGCAGGGACAACAAAATCCCCTCTCCCATCTGCAGGGAACTGCCATGGATACACCAGCTGCTCCCCTGCTCTTGTCCAGCCTTGTTATATGAATCCAGACTAAGGCAGCAATTTTACCCGGGAAACTCAGTTAAAGAAACTTTAAAGAAAATGTTTTCTAAATGCAGATTATACATCAAACCCCCAATACTCCACCGGAATATCCCCAGACAGATTTGTCACACAGGTTCCTCCCCACCCCCTAGTCAAAAATGAAGAAGAAATTCACCATAAAACTAGAATAATTCAGAGCAACTCTGTTAACTTACTTGTAACTAGGCAGCTTCCCCTTGGTTTCTCGTACATAGGAAAGGTAACATTTCCATAAATCAATGTGTAAAACCTTCATAAGGCATCGCTGAAATAACTGTTTAATACATCAAGAAGATGTGATCAGGATTCCAGATACAGAAATTAGGTTTCTACTTTCAAAACTATACAGTATGGATTAAAATAATCTTAGTAATTATGATTGAGATTTATAAGAAAGAGTAAGTTAAACTACTCATTCCTTTGAATAAAGCATCTCTGTGCTATGCAAGGGAACTGGAGAGAATTAAGCAGAAAAATCCCCATGCACAACTCACTGATTACAGCTTATTATTATTATTATTTGTTGTAGCAACAACAAACCAATTGTAATGATACTTTTTATCTGTGTCTTTGAATAGCACATTCAATGACAGCTATGGCTTTTTTCAATCTGATACAGCCCAATCCCAAGGTACTTTTTCTTGCTATAGAAATATATTACATATATTAATAGGACTCACCTTTTCCACTTTGTCATAATTTTTTGCTTTAATCTATAGGAAAGCAGAAAAAAACAAATCACTTAAGAAACTACTTTTGAATAGTAGGAATATATTCTTTTTACAGTACTACAGCATTCCAATTTGTACTTTGGCTGCCTTGAACTAATTACACTGTAACACCATATAATGTTGCAAAAATATAATTAAACACACAAAAATCATGTACTTTGCATAGCTTTTGCAAAATTGGCAGGCTTTTTATTTTTATTTTTAATTCTTCACTTCCAAAATGTAGGTATCAGTAGGCAAAGCTGCTTTCCTGTATTCTGGTTTGAACAGCCAGACTTAGCCTCTAATGTCAAGATATTCTATTGCCTCCAGTGCATATATTGACTTATGTACCAAAGGTTCTAGATCAAGATTTAGTAAATTAAGGGTAAAACACCATATTTACAAAACTACTAGGCTAATAAATCTATTACACTTGAAAATTTATTTCTTAAACATCCATGCTGATGCTGGATGAGGGAATAATAAACATGAAGAACCTGTTTTCTGAGAGGTGCCCCAGCCCTGGTGCTCCCAGGAGGGACCAAACCACACACACATCTCGTCACCAGTTTCATTCACACAGCTCACACACCACAAGGGCAGAGCATGAAACCACCCAGCAACCAACAGGCTGCCTTTCAGACAGGACAAAGAAAAGCACGACACTGCTGAGCAGGACAGACTGGCATCCTTCACGTATTTATTAGCTCCAGTTACAGCAACATGCCAGGCAATCTCTGGAGACACACCCCGAAGAAACAAGGAAAATCAACAACAGCCTTTAGAAGATGCTTATCTTCGTTGAAGTAAAGAATTTTTAATGAAATAAGGATTCATTATGCTGTGTTGCATTTGTAAAGCATCAAACCTCCCCTTTAAATCTCATTGCTCTTCATTTACTTAGAGGATTCGAGCTCAGCAGGAGCAGTTCCGAAAGCCTTTCTCTCCACTTCCCCAAGGATCGTGGTGGCAGGCAGCAAACAGCACCCTTCTGCACCAGCTATTCATTCTTTCACTTTATATCATTCCCACACTAAAGCACAACAGAATTTTTAATGGAAGCATTAGGAGACACCGACTCACGTGCAGGAGACCTAAAATAAGTAAGCCCTGTACTGCACCGTGCTCTGCCTTTCCTGCCTCCCGCTTCCCGAGTGTCCCTACTCCCACAACACCCAGTCCCGAGAGCCTTAACATTGCCCTCACTCCTGAACAAGATCAATTAAAAACAAGAGCACTCGAACACGTTTTGAAGAAAAACTTTAATGGCACACATGGCAGACTGGACCCTCGTGTCATACCCCACTCCAACCGGAGCAGTGACCCGCCCAGCCTGAAAGACTTTCACAAAATCCAGCTCTGCAGAAAGTTAAGCCCAATTGTGTCTTGCACACACGAGTTTCACACAGTCTTCCTGCAAACTACTCAGTTAAAAGACGGCTGACCAGAGAAATGACCAATTACAGACACAACACTGCTGTGAAGTAACACTTCACTAAAACCCGGAGGTGGCGTTTCTGTGCTCTGGAGAACACCTCTAACCCCTGGTAACACACCCTGACCCCACACGCTCTCAGGGACGTGTCCACATCCTACTGCCACTTTCTCACAAACTTTTTGAGTTGAGCACATTCTTTCTGCCTTTAAAGAGCACTCCTAATAATTGCAGGGTTGTTGAGATGGAAGGTTTTTTTTGTGGACACGAATTAAGGAGCCTGATGCTGCTCTGCTTCCAGTTGAAGGAAAGTACATTCTTACATTTTAAATTTCTCATTCCTTTAGAGTCCAAAAGAAAGGAAGACATCACCCATTTTTACTTCATGCTTTTTTGACAGTAATTTTTCAGGTTCCTCAGCACATCTGACAATATGATGAAAAGGATTCAACTCTCACTAAAGAGAAAGAGCTCCCAGTCCATACCTCCCACGTCTGGCAATCTCCTTCTTCTATCCTTGGTCACCAAGTCAAAAAGAACAACTGAACCTTGGTTTGTACATCTTAGCACACAGCACAGCTGCCTGCACCTTTTTTCCCTTGCACTTAACTCAATAAAGCCTTCAAGAGGATGTGCAGAATTAATTTGTTTTTAATAGAGTGAGACGGGAGATAGCACGAATTCTTTTCTTTTAATGAAAATTAAATAAAATTAATTCATGGCTTTGTCACTGACAAAAGGCATCACCTTGTAGTTATTCAGGAACAAGATGAAAAATAATTTTTAGAAGCTCAGAATGAAAAGCTGTAAGCAGGCAGAGCAAAAATGAGTGTAGCCATGTAAACGGTGCCACACACCCCAAGACAATTCCTAAACGAAGCTGGGAATGCTCTCTGCCTGCTCAGCACTTCCCCTTGCTCCTCCAACATCCAAAAGCCCAGTGACAACTATGACTCAGCAGAAGTGAACTCCAGTGACCTCAGTAATTGCATCCAGCATCAGGTCATCCCATTTGCTTATAGAGCAACTTTATTAGTGCCTGGCAGCACTGTCACCAGGCAACAAAACACAGAGCACAAGGGATACATATCCACTGGGCTGCATGCACCTCCCATAACCAAACACCTTGTAGAGTATTTTGCTGACAAAAGAAGGAATACTCTTCATTTGCATGTGTTATGACTCAAAGCTAAGGATTTTCTACGTGAATTATCAGGTATATGACAAGCTGCTGAGCACATCGAGTCAGTGTTCTGTATTTGTTAAATCCACACAAATGGTTTGACATCTGAAAATTCAGAAATCTTGGTACCAGCAAAGGTAGGAGGTTGGAGACCAGCAGGATGCATTAAAAAAAAAATAAAGGAAAAGAAAAGCAATATTGGCCAATGCTTATTGGGTCTCTCAATGGAGAAGCAAATTCCTGCAGGAATTTGTTTGCCTTTCTTAGCTCCCCACTCCCAAGCAAACATCGTGGCAGCCCTGGCTCAGGGATGGCACAGGAGTGGGGAAAGTCCACCCCCCCCCAGCAAGGGCACAGGCTGCCTGCAGGACCCATCACACATTCCTGTTACATTTCTTGGTTTCCTATTACAGACACAGGATGTGGAAAAGCATAAAGAATTGACATTAAACTGTAATTTTGCCCTTAAAAGACAAACATTAAGTGAACTATAGATTATCCTTTAATTTCCAAGGCTGCCTGGATTCCTATTCTGATTTCTTTAATTGAGGAGGCCGGTGTTACCCTCACAGAGGTTGACAAAGGAGTGGCTCCACGAGTCCACCTCCTACTCAATGAGCTGAGACACTGCCATTCCAAGGTAAAATCCATACAGATGAGTGTCTCCCCTCCATCCTTGAAGACTACACAAATGCCACCTTGTCTGACCAGCCATACTTGGACACTCCTGTAATAAAACACACCTGACCCTCTGCCTTCCTCTGCCTGTGGCAATGAGAAATTCCACCCCTTTTGCTGAAAGAGTAACTTTAAATTTGATGCTCTAATAGGAAATTTAAGTCACTACTGTATCAGCTTTGTACAAGGTGAATTCATAATAAGTTAAATTTCTTCCCAGAATATACAGTGTGATTCCCTATAATGAGCTTCACCAACATTCAAAGGCAAAACTTAATCCATAGATTACATAGCACTTCACCCTTTTTAACAGACCTTTACAAGACATATGAACCACTTATGATCGTGCAAGGCACGTCATTTTACTAATCCAGGGACATAAAACTATTTGTAGTTGCCTGGCAACATACAACACAAGCCTGAAAAGCATCCCAGTTTTGTTTTAACCTTTTTGGTGTTTCTTGCTTTCCATCAAGCTCCTGAGGAAGCCAAGTTAGTATGTGGTAATTAAGGACCAGCATGGCTTTTTCTGTCATCCATTTCTATGTCCCAACTCCATCTTCCTTTTCTTCAATGGTTATTTTCCAGGGAAAGAATTTGTTTCTCAAGCATAAAATCTAACACTCCCTTACCCACTGCCTCCAGCTCTCCCCTTGGTGAGGTAGGTGCTCTTGCTCTCTACTCTAGCCACTGCCTCTGCACTACTCAGGGGTTTTTTGTGCTTTTTTTGGAAGAGGGACCTGAAGAGAAACTCTGTGCACCCCTGGCAGACTGCACCAGCTGACAAGGGACAGGCTGGGAGAGAAGGAAACGCCACAGCTGTGCAGGTGTTAACCTTCTGAGAATTCTCCTGAAATCTGGATTTGTTATAAATACTAACGTGCATGCACCAGCCTTAATGTTAGCTGGGGGTTTTTTTGTTGGTTGGTTTTGAAAAAACCATACACTACATATGTTTCAGAGTACAAAATTACAACCAGATCCTACACGTATGTATTTGGAAGTATTGCTCTTGTTTATTAGCTGAAGGGAACTCACTGTGAAAGACCTATATTCGTTCGCAGTTACATGACTAGGTTTTAGACAAATAAACGTTAACATTTTAAAAATAAAATCAGACCACCTAAAATCTATCATGACTGAACCCATTTGCCTTTTCTTTTTTTACATCTTGATTGCTAGAGGAAAAGAGTCAACTCCCAACCTTGAGCACAGTGGGATGTAATTTCCATCTCCACCAGGACAGAACTGTCAGTGTAATCAAATACACTCACATTTCTCTACTGTTTCCAAAATACAGGCTAGGGCTGGCTGGAGAGATGTTCCCACTTTACTTGCAGAATAAATACAGCTTGGAACACAGCAGTTCAAACTTCTCAGACAGCCTCAAAGAAAGGATGGAGAGATGCTGATTCTCTGTTCTATCTTTAGCACATTTGGCCTTTTGCTATTTGCTGAGGCTCCCAGTCAGTGACTAATTTCATGAGCACTTAATGTGACAAACTTGCTTTCCTACAGGTCAAGTAACAGCAATTAGCCTTGCAAATAACAAACCAGGTTCTGATAAAGGTAAAATGCAGGACTAACGCTGCACTTCCACGTGCTCATTAACCCAGCGAGGCTGGATTATAACTGTCTAAATAACTGGATGTAAAACTTATCTAACATATGCCCAACAAAGCACATATTTCATTTGTGCAAGAT